TAAAATAAGAAATGAATGATGATATTCAAAGATAAAAATCAATATAAAATATAAAATCAAATATAATAAATAATAAAATAAGAATGATTATCTTATTTTATTATTATATTCTTCTTTAAGATTGAGATCTATATCTACATCACAAGAATACCATAGAAATCATATAGAAATAATTATATAAAAACAAATAGATTTAGAAGACATTATCAATGCTATAAATATAATCATTATCAACAAAATAACAGCATAATCAATTTAATAATAATTATCATATTTATAAATACAATAATACATTCTCAAATAATCACATTTATAATAAAAAGAAAAGTAATTATTATAACACAAATACCATAATACAGATAAAATGTTTAATCAATATTATCATGAGAAAAAACAATATAAAAGATATAGAAACAAATATATTACAAGAAAAGACAATGAAGGAGGGACAAAAGAAAATAAGAAAATAATACAAGAAATGATGAAGAGATTTGAAGACATAGAAAAATAGTGAAAGAGAAGTTATGTAAGAAAGAAGAATAACAAGAAGAAATACCCATGGTGATTGAAGAAAAGAAGAAATAATACAATAACAAGAAATGGATATAGAAGAAGAGATAATAGAAAGATATGAGAGAAAAAAGAAATAGAAGAAGAATATGAAAGAGAAATAAAAAACTTGAAAGAAAAATAGAAGAATTGAGAAATACAAAAGAAAAAGAAATAAAGAAGAAAGACAAAGAAATAGAATGAATGAAGAGTAAACACCAGATAGAATTCTATCAGAAAGAAGAACAAATACAAATATTGAAAAGGAATTTAGAGAAACAAAAGAAAGAAGAAACTAATAGATTAAAGAAAGAAATAAGAGAAATAAACAAGAAGAAGAAAACAATAAAACAAAAGATAAAATCAAACAAGAAGAAGAAGAAATAACAAAGAAGAAAGAACAAAAAGAAAATAAAGAGAAAAACAAATAAATAAAAATAGAAAGAAGAAAA